GTTTTAGGGCTTAGGGCTGAGGGTCTTAGGGTTCTAGGGTTTATATAAAGGGTTAAGGTCTCAGAGGGATTCATAATCTCCTGGACCCCCCCAACAAAACCCTCACTACCAGGGGCCATAAGGGCTATATTGAACAGTACTTGGGGGGGGGGGTCCCTGTTCTAGAAGGCCACACCGCATAATGTAAGGCAGGTTCAAGGGCTTCTGCGCAACATTTAGCGCGGCTAATATAGGGGACTTATAAGACTTAGAATGGGGTTTTGAGGCCCATTATAATGAGGAACCCCAAATAAGAGTATAGCAAATTATGATGAAGGTCCCTTTATTCACCCCGGTTTGCCACACAAGCTTTGCAGACAGTTCAATGCTGAAGAAGCATGGCAGGGCAGATGGTTTCGCATGTTTGCATTAAACATGTCAATGTCATGATATGTGCAGCAGAAAACGCCAACGAAACTGTGTTTCTGTGCAGGGAAATTTGCTGACCTTACACATGACTGATTGTAACTGCAAGATGGGCTGCAGGATTCAGCAGCATGGACGTTGTCCCAGAGGGCCCAATACCCCTTCATTCAGGAATATGGCTTAGATTATCTAGGGCTTCATATTCTGCGTCCAGCTATATTCCTGAATTACGGGGTACAGGGCTCTGGGTTCATGGTTTGGGCATGAATGCGCTGGCAACTGGATGGGTTGGTAGCATGGACGCTATCATGGTCTGGGCATGGATGCACTGGCCATGGACGTTATCATGGTTTCGGCACCGGCCAGGGAAATTAGCATGGACCTGTGCAATGTCCCTGCCTGCCTACAGACAGAATGCGCAAACGTGGGCGATCGACCCAACATTTAGGGTATTTGCGCATCAGGACAGACGGCCAACCTCCACCCCCCCCCCCCCCCCCCCCCGCCCGTGCCCAAAGAAATGCAATGTTGCATAGATTGAAGCTTGAAACGACAAGCTCAACGCCGAAACATGCAAAACAAGGCAAAGCACCCCTGAACAACCTAAAGCCCTACCCCTTGAGTTGGCACCTCCGAACTACATACCTGAAGACCTACACCCTAACGGCCCTAACGCCCCGAAACCCTGAACCCCACAGTTCCTAAAGTCACGTAGACCCTAAACATCCAAAACCCTAAACCCCGAACCCTAAACATCCAAAAGCCTAAACCCCTAAACCTTATAGATCCGTTTAAAGGAACCCCTGTTGGAACCCTTAAAGAACCCTACAAGCGCGTCAGGGGCGTGCCACGTCCTTCTTGAACTCAAACGCCAACCCAAAGTCGATAATCTTGAGGTGGGTCCTGGTGGTCTTGCTTTGTTGTTCAAGGTTTGGGGGGTTTAGGGTTTAGGGGGTTTAGGGGGTTTAGGGTTTAGGGGTTTGAGGTTTTAGGGGTTAGGGGTTTAGGGGTTTAGGGGTTTAGGGTTTAGGGGTTTAGGGTTTAGAGGTTTTGGGGTTTAAGGTTTCGGGGTGGGTCCTTGTTGTCACGTTGTCTTTTGTTTTTCGGCCAGAAGGATTAGGGTCGGGAGGAAAGGTTTAGGGCTTAGGCTGCTGAGTGGGTAGGGTTCAGGGCTCAGGTCGTCTTCCGCTGTGGTGGATATAAAGTAAAAGCCAGAAAGTTGGAATATGATTATCGTAGCCCCTTTAAGGTAAATTATAGGGGATCCTACCATTAATCCATATTCCAACTTTCTGGAGTTCCCTTTAGGGTGTTAGTTTGAAGTGGAGGGGTTGGGGCTTGCCCTGTTTATCGTTTTTGCTTCAGGCGTGAGAGGGCTCCGGGCATTTTTCGCGTACAAGCGTTCCTTGGAGACGAGATCCAAAACGTCGGGTGGCTGGATGTTGGAGAACTAGTTAACTAGGTTATTAAGCAGGTATACGGTATAACGATATAGCTATAGTTACCTCACTTATAACCCTTACTAAGTGCCATGATCCTCTAAGAAGGCAACCACAAACCGTAAAAGCCCAGAGTCTTGCGCAGGGTCTCTGCAATCGTTCGGGGCGCTTGGCTGCAGAAAGAACCCTCAACGAAACCCGCTGAAGGCTGGTCGTAGCAAAGCAACAGTGACAACAGACGACAGCACCAACCCACCAGCTGGAGCCAAACACCCTCAAGTAGGCCATCGAGGGATCATACTTTCCCCAACCCCAAAACCGAATTCGGGCTAATACAATGTTCAGCATACGCCTTCGGTTTGAAAGTTAGAATCAGGAACCGTAAGGAATAGCATGGTGAATATTTTGGTTTCTATATGGAGCCCTATACCCCAAAACCTTCTTCTCTCACCGAAGTTCAAAATCCCAAACCTAAGCCCCAAACCCTGTGCTGTTTAAGATCCCACGCTCTCTGCGAGTCTTGAGACCCTGGCTTCTCTATCGGCTCTTTCGTTGCGAAGAGGAAGTTCTCCGGCTTTAGATCCTGGCATTGCAGGGCTTCAGTCATGACGCATGTCTATGAATATGTGTACGTATATGCACATGTATATTATGCCGGTAAGTCTGCATGCTTGTATGTACCTAGTATGTTATGTAAGTATGCAATTATACAAGTATGTATGCATGGATGCATGCATGTTTGTGTGCATGCATGCATGCATGCAGGCATGTATGTATGTAGGTATGTAGGTAGGTCAGGTAGGTACATAGGTAGGTGTGCTGTATCTGTCTGTCTGTCTGTCGGTCTGTCTGTCTGTCTGTGTCTGCATGCATGTAAGCATGTACCTGTGTCGTACGGTATGCCGGCGCGTAGGTATGTAGGTATGTACGCACGACTACGTGCCCATATCCGTACATGTGCTGGCCTTGGGTCAGCGACTTTGCGGGATTTAAGTTTAGCATGCCAACGTGCAGGTAGATGAAATCTTGCATCCTGACCTAGCTAAGTGGGAAACTCTGGCCACCGCTGCATCGAGGGTATAGTAAACAACTCGTGTTCTGGATTAAGGCCTAGCTTAGGTTTAGGATGACAGGCTAAGGCAGGGAATGAGCACACTTTTGTTATAAATCACTTGCAGCGAATGCAGTTAACAGCAGCGTTGAAACATCTCCTGCCGATCCAAGCCCAGGGCCGCTTGCAGGCGTTTGTCATGGGGTAGGGGCTATAATTAGAATAGGGTTCCTTTAGAGGGGTCTATAAGGGCTACTATATAGGGATCTATAATATATCTGCTATGGGGTGTGTGGGCGGCATTCTCTTGCGATCCACTTAGCGACACCTTGTCGACTGATCACTGAAGTGGTAGTGACGACAGTTGCGAGGAGAAGTGGCATTCCTTCAGCGATACGTGCAAAAATGCAGTGCTTTGGCCGCCGTGACGGTTCCACCGCCGCACAGTGCACGACATGATCAGGCTATCGAGCGCTTGAATTCCGCGACATCACGTCACCAGCTGACATCATCATCTGGACAGCTCAGGACCTCGAGACACCCTAATAAACCCTATAAGCCTATAAGCTCTATAGAAGCCCCATAAGTGCTGTACAGCCTGCAAACCCCAAATATTGAAGCCTCAGATAACGGCCAAAGCTGCGAACCATGCTTCTATAGAGCTCCTAACATTGGGGGAGGGAACTCCCGTTGTCTAAGTCTAGGGAAGCCAGCAGACCCTGCATGTTCTTGATTGATGACGATGGAAACCGAGCACCTCCCTTGACACCAAACCCTACACCGGAATGAACTTACAAATACCGAGACCTGCCCGCAGTCGCTACATACCCAACACGGCTCTGCGCCCGTCAAAACTGGCCGGCCGCACTCTGTGGCAGAAGCTGTTCTTGTGCATGTAATACACAGCACCTCGGGACTCCAACCCGCAGCTCAATCCCGAAGTCCCCGTGCCCTCCTACAGCCCTAAGGTTTAGGGTTCAGGGGTTTAGGGTGAAGGGTTTGGGGGTTTAGGGCTTAGGGGTTTAGGGGTCGAGGGGTTTTGGGCTCAGGGTTTGGGTTTAGTGCCTTCGACTACAGTTGAGGCTTTGCCTAGCATTAATCACAAGTAAGGACTGCGGGGCCCAGCTTCGGCACCCGTGCGGCTACTCCGAACGTGCTGAGAAACCGTTGCCCTGCGCCCAGACGCCCTAGAGCCTTAATTAAACCCTGCCCTGAGCCCTGGAACCCTAAACCTCTCAACCCTGACACCCCCAAAACCTGAAAGGCCCTACAACGTCCTGATTCTCCCTAAACCCAAAGCAGTGACCCCAAAATGCCGAAACAAAAAAACACAAGCTCTTGACTCTGGCAAAACCTAAACCCCGCCCCCGAAGCTCTCCAAACAGGCAATTTCTTAAAAGTCCTGGAATCCCCAAGCCGAAATCCCAAAACACTCCCAAATCGAGGCAGCACTAAATCTAGCAGGGTTTTGGTGCACAGGACGGTGGAAGTAATATTTGGAACACTCAAGAATGGTATTTTTGAGTACTTAGGTCCGACACTACCCCAAAACATTTCCTGCATTCCAGTGGCGAAGCATCTGCTGCATGACTAAGGCTGCCTGAACCTGGTCGCACACAGCAACAAGGGATTTGGGCTAAGAGGTTTAGTAGGGTTTAGAAGTTGTGGGTTTAGGGGTCGCAAGCAACAACAAGGGTTTAGGGTCTTTTAGGTTTGGTGATTTTTATAGTGTTTAAGCATTTAGGGTGTCCGGTGGTGTTCTTTTCGGAGCTTTTTTTTGTAGGGTCCGCAGAAGATTGCACACGGAGTAGTGTTCGTGATGAAATCAGAGTGGTAAGTTCATGGAAACCATCAGACTTACGTCACGAACCCTCGTTGCCAGTTCCGAGTTCTACTTGCTCAGGGCCTGGTACCAAGAGGCCCTTCCTTAACCCCGAAGAACCTACCTTTTTAAGGCCTTATATAACGAAATCATAGTGAGGATCCCTAAAAAGGTAGGTTATTCAGGGTTAAGGTTGTCTCTAAAAGGAAAAATGAAAAGATCGAAACTGCTACAACCTGATCCTCCACCCTGATAGGTTCGGTTCGGAGAACAAGAATAAACCCTACAATAAGCTATAAACCGTGAACCCCGACTGCTCTGGAGAACCCCCGCGAAACCTTAAAGCCAAGTTGAACCGAAAGGACGCATGCGGGGAGGCCTCCGTAAAGTGGCCCAGCTCAATGATACGGTCGAAGAGCTCCCCGCCGGTGCAGAGCTCCATCACGAGGTAGACTTTGACCTTGTCCTGCGAGAGCTTTCGAAATCTGGCGAACCCTAACTACTGGTAAAAACTGAAGCCACGCTGCATCAATATCCCTGATCCTTATATTATGGCCCAACTTGTAGAAACCCTGAGATCCTCAAACTCCCAATTTCGACCCAAAACACGATGCCTCGAACGTTTCGTAGAGCTTGATGATGTTCGGGTGGTCCTGGAAGGAAGGCAGCTTCGGGGCTTCTGCGCAGTAAGGTTTAGGAGATTTGGCTTCGGGCGTAGGGTTCTGGGCTAGGGGTTGAGAGGGTTTAGGCTTTAGGGGTTTAGGGGTTTTACCCTAAACTCTAAACCCTAAACCTAAAGCCCTAAACCCTACTAGGGTTTAAGGTTTTGGGGTTTAGGGGTTTCGGGGCCCGGTTTAGGGTTTCCGAGGTTTTAATGGTTTAGGGCTTCGGGTTTGCCTAGACCCCCCCAAATACCCTCGGATGTACCCTATAGTACCAACTATTAAGGACCATAAGGCCTCTATTAAAGGGCCCTTATTGGGGGTCCTGGTGCCTGATTTTGGGGCCTGAGGGTTACCTTTAAGGGTTCGGGCGGGGGTTCAGACCCTATTTTGGGGCCCTAGTATTTAGGATGCTATTTTGGGGTCCCCTATTTTCGGAAACTCCGCTCTCTGAAGCATCGCAACGAAGTGACTTTGCTAGACGTTGAACCACGAAACCTCTGACATGAACTTGTAAACAACAAACAGTAAAGTCACAGCCCCGTCCTACGCCCTAGACCCTGAACCTCATTCACAAAACGGTCCATGATCGTCATGATCCGGATCTCTTCCTTGAACTTCCTCGGCGATGGCTGCGGCTGGGCATGGAAGGACTGGGCCCCACATTACCCTCCGCACTGTAACAACCGAAAACTCCATCAAAGGTGTGTTGAAGTCTCTAGCCAGGTTGTAGGGCTTGTTCGGGTTCAGGCTAGTGTGGGGTGTAGGGCGCAAGGGTTTAGAGTTGGGGCTCGGGTACCGTTCCTGTACATGGGCATCTGCATAGATTTTAACTGCGTGACTTCTGAGACCGGATTGGACCGCAATGCCCTCTTCCGAATGTCAAGGCTCCCATTACCATACAACCTTATAGTAGCCGAGTAGCCACTTCAAAACCCTTCTGGGACCCCGTCAACCGAGCCCTACTTTCATGATTCAACTCATGAAGGCACCATCAAACGAATAATCCGAATCGAGAAGTCTCAGAAATCGCACCTTCGCCCAGCATGCTGCTTTAGGACTCACGGTTTAAGGTCCCCTCCAACATGCTGCTCCAAAGTTACCAGAAGGAAGCATACCGCATCTGCAATCCTGATCGAAATTTTGGCAGGGTGCCGGCTCAGCATAGTGACCACAAGGGAGAACGGATAATGCTAACCATTTTCGCACCCTCCATGTTCCACGAAGCTGCTGGGTGCGCCCTGGCCCAGTCCAAACCAAAGCGGCTCACACTGAAAGCTAAACCCGAAACCACAAACCCTAGATTCTTCCAAAAAATCCCAACAACAACAACCTTGTTAGATAGTCTGGCAGCATCGGATGTCTGCTCGAAACATCAGCGGCTAATGTTGACATGACTCTAGCGTTTGCCATTAGAAAAAGAGTCTAGGGTGTTGGTCTCAGGATCCATTTTAGATGTGGGGCAATGTAGAGTTCAGTGTTTGGATGCGTGGTGCAAACAGCCGATAGATGATCTCAAAACTGCTACGTAACACGCAGCGCCACAGTTCGCTATGCCACAAACTCCTTTGCCAGTACGCCGGTTAATCTTGAAGGCATCCGAAAATACTGTAAGTCCTGTAAAGCCCGGTTTGGATAACTACAAAACTTCCCAAAAGCCTACGGAGTTCAGTACTATCCACAGCCAAGGTGCTCGATGTTCTTCATCTGTGTCTTGCTAAGAGCTTTCACAGCCCTTAGTCAAGTTTTCACGGCTGCATGGCATCTGCGGTTTAGGGTGTATAAGGTCAGGGATTTTCCTATCGCCCCAGCCCCTACAGGCCTACAGATTAGTAGACTATGACCCGTTTGGGGTAAACCGACGGTCTTACCCCTAAGACAACATATACGTTTGTTGGATCCACAGGTAAGGGTTAACCCTAAACCGGAGTTTATTCACGCTTGTTGTTGTCCTTTTTTGTCCCTCGGTTGCTACACCTCCTCATTTCGTTGTGGACAGCTCAACAAGGGCTTTTGACTCAGGCAACTTATCGGGGTTGTGGCTTGCGAACTGAGACAGTGGGGAACCATTGCGTCGCGTTGAGGTTACATGGTTTCAGTTCCCCGGAGAACCCAATACCTCTGAATTAAGGAATATAGCCTAAATCATAATATGAAGCCCTATATAATTTAAGCCATATTCCTTAATTAAGGGGTATTGGGCTCTCCGGGTTCAGGGTGTTTCATTTGAGGGTTTAGGTGCTGGGAGAGCTGACTGCAACTTCGGAGAGTTGGAGTTGTAAGGCTGTGGGATGCGGAGATTAGATTTCACTCAGTTCCGAATGAATCAGAGCGCAAAAATACTGCGTCCAAGACTACTAAAATCAACACGAAATCTCAAGTCTGATAACCTCCCGGTAATCTTGGTAGCCAGCCGTTTCTGCTTCGTCGCCTCCGGCAAGATGGTTTGGGGTTGGGGCCTTAATAACTAGAATAGGATGCTGGGCCCGATTATAGGATGAATATACTGTGAAGCCCCCACCCCCAAAAAAAAGTAGCATAGGTAAGTAGCCCAAAACAGTATAGGTAATCATCTCAAAATAGTGTAGGTCACTATCCCAAGATGGTATAGGTAATTATCCTATTTGTATAGGTAAGTGTCCCAAGATAGTGAAGGTAATTCTCCCAAAATATTATAGGTAATCATCCCAAAGAAGTGTAGGTAATCATCCCAAAATAGTAAAGGTAATTATCCCAAGAAAGCATAGGTAATTATTTAGGCCCCTAGAGTACGAATTTTCGGCTGCAGGGGATCAGGGACCCCAGACCCCCGGGAGGATCCAAAAAGTAGATCCCTTAATGGGGGTTCCTATAAAGTACCGTTAGCAGTATAGGGCCCCAAATTAGGGGATCTACTTTCTAGATCCTGCAGAACACTCCTGAGTTACAAGAACCCGAAACTTCAAAACTTGGATGTCGGAAGGCTAGATACCCTAACACCTATGCACCCGCATTGACCGAATAAGCTACGTAAGTCAAGCCCAAACGCCCTGACGCCCAGAAAACCCGAAGGCCCAGCACCCTGTCAAGAAGGGGGGTGGGGAGGTCCACGCAGAGGCCCCTAGATAGTTCGACTACAGGTTTTGGGCTTCTATGCCAGCACTACTGAGGAATCCTGCTGGAATTGGGTTTCTACTCAAAGGGGGGTGTGGACATTCAAGCCTGTGCGGCTTGATGTTTAGGGTGTGAGCGCTCGGAACCTATAGAGGTCGCATAACTGGGCTTGCTGCAATTCGTGTTGAAATGGATACTATACCGGTTACTTACTATTACATGGGCTCTAGTTGATTTCGGATTTAGAGTATGTGGGTGGGAAATATTCTCTATATCAATGCTATAGGCTATAGCGATCCCCTAAACGCTATCCAAGTGTTAAGGCCCTTACACGCAATGGGGCGGATGGTTCCGACGAGAAAGTTGGTGAATGGGTGGTCCATGCAGTGGTGCACACAGCTGCTGCAGGGTTTAGGTTTTTGAGGGTCTTTTGCTTACCTTTGAGGGCGGGGGGGAGGGGGGCCGGCAAGGCCGGCTAACCTGTGTAGACTTTAGACCCGGGAACGACCCCAAACAGTAGGTGTTTGAAGCCAACGTAAGGTCCAGCGGGTCCGGAGAGCATTAACGGCCGGACTGAATGGTCTCCCTTCCTATTGTGCTGCAGACCATAAACCCTAAGCCTGCACTGACTGCGCTTGGATAGGGATACGGGGACTACCAGTGGATATCATTTCTCAGTACTCAGACCTCTATACTACACCTGCAACCTCAGGTGCTCATCGCCTTGTTGACGCAGACGCAGACAGTTCCGTAGGACCCTTCACCGATCTTCTTCTTGTCCACGTCATAGCCTTCGCGCGTTTCTGTGCATTGTTGCAGGGTCTGATTATGTTATTTCTTATGGTGGAATGTAGGAACCTGATTAAGAAACCTTGGGCCTTTATTAGGGCTCCTTATATGAATCCTACTATTTTGGGGTTATAGGCCTAGGGTTTCTTAATCAGGTTCCTACATTGGACTTCCGGGTCGGTGAAGAGCCTGGGTTTTCAGGTCCAGCAGTCGAAGGCGGAGTGGCCAGGATGGGCTGTCTACACGTCCAAAAAGCTGTTAAAGAGCGCGCTGGGCCCTGGTTCAGCCGCACACCCTAAATCATGTTCTCTACTCCCGCGATTGCGATTCTATGCCGGGATTGGCTTTGGGGGTTCAAAGTCATTTTTGCAGGCCTTACTTATTAGAGCAGGGTTCTGGAGCATACGAGACCGGAATTATACAGGGACTACGTGGGATACTACTATTCCGACTCCGAAAGGATGTTCTTGGAGGCCCATCAAGCAGCATAATGCTTGTTGGCCCCTTCTCATGAATATGCCAATATGCCATGCAATTAAGAGGAGCTAGTTTCAAGAGCCGGCCGTAGTTTAGGCTCAAGCTCTAGACCCTTAGGCCCTAGAGTCCGTCTAGCACCTCTACAAAACTCTGATAATAAAACACCGCATATGGAATCGTTTAGATTATCATTTCAGATTCCCACCATGACTGATCTGGGCTTCCGCACTCTCTTGTATTTTGCCGCCACGGTTGTCCTCAGTAAAGGAGGCTCTAGGGTTCACGAGTTTTCAGGGACGATGACTCGGGGGGTCGTACCCGAGTGGTCAGATAGCGCTGCGTTACTTCTGATGTGCGGTCGTTGTAGAAGCCTAAATTGGATGAGAAGTAGATACTGACTCAATCCCAAGAGTCTATGATATTTAGAGGCTTGTGGAGCATTGTCCTACAGGTCCTAGTGGGTTCAAACCATGTAATGCCTGTTGCTCATTAGGCCATAAACCCCGACCCCGCACCTACACCGCGAAGCCTAAACCCTAAACCACACAACGCAAATCCCAAAACCAATTAAGCTCAGCGAGAATAGCCGTTCTACTCGCGGCTTCATAGTGTAAAGCCTTCTAGGATTCTCAAGGATTCTAGAAGTGAAGGAGTCTTGGGTCAGGCTCGGCTTCCAGCTACCAGACACTACTTTGTGATAGTGTCCTGTCGGGTTTCGGGGTTAGGGCCGTGCACAAAGGGTAGCTTCGTGTAGGTTAAGAGAGGGTCGAGGACCAAGGTAACCCAGCCCCAAGCAGAATGCAAATCTGGAGCATCAGTAGACTAGTTTAGGAATTACGTTAAAAGGGATTCGGGTTTGGGCCTTCACAACTAGACTAGGGTGTGGAGCATATAATGATAGGGACTGTAGGGTGTTACTAGTAGTCAGCCCTCGAAATCTGAGTTAACAAATTCGCGGGCTTGCTTGGGGTTTAAGTTTACCTTTTTGGAGTGGTTGGCTGAAGAGTCAAAAATTAAAATCACACTCGCATGCAAAGTCCGTAAAGTCACGTTTAAGGTTCCTTCTTGAATCTGACTGTGAGGTGCATCCTGGCACTGTGTTCACATGTAAATAGACCTATGCAGAAGAATCTCAGGAACATGCTTGGTGGGCCTCCCGAATCTCAGGTCTCACTGCAAAATGGAAGCCACTTAAAGAGAACTGCCTATGTGAGCTACGGCCGACCGTACTCTCAACAAGCCCAACAACACATGGTCCCTCAATTGGAACCCGCCAGAAAAGCTACAATCTAATCCCCCTGTAGATTCGTAGAATCCGACGCCCCACCCCGACAAGAGCCTATCCCTATCATTCGGAATATGAATCCTTGAACCCTCAGACCAAAGTAGATATTGCATCCCGGAAGATTACCCTTGACTTCTGATGCCTGAAGCCCAAATGGGAGTTTCCGAAAACTAGGGGTACCTTTTTTTCGGGTCCTTATAATAAGGATCCTACTATTTAGGGTACTATATCAGGGTCCCCCATTTTCGGAAACGCCCAAATCGAGCGAGGGGCTATGACAACGATGTTGCCAGATGTGCCTTCCTGGCAGCGGGAGCCGTTACGATTGCATTTGGGAGTTTCAGAAAATTAGGGGTACCTTGGGGGGTTCCTTTAAAGGGATCCTTTAAGGGTTCCTATAAGGGATCTATAGGGTTTAGGGTTTAGGGAGTTTCCGAAAATGAGGGGTACCTTATTTAGGGGTCCTTATAATAAGGATCCTACTATTTAGGGCACTATATTAGGGTCCCCTATTTTCGGAAACCCCATTTAGGGCTCCGTCAAAAGAGTCCCTCAACGGATCTGTACGGGTTGATGGTTGAGGGCTAAAAGGTGTGGATCTTTAGGGTTTAGGGCTTTAGAGTTTAGGGCTTTTGGACATAGTATATGGTTTCAGGTTCAGGGTTTATGGAGTTATGTATCTGCAACCCGAGTTCCGGGCTCAGGAACGGTTTTGTAGAATCACAGAAGGCTGCAGTGGAAGCCAAGCCCTAAAGCCTGGAATCTGCACCCCCAATTCTGACCCATTCAGACATCACAGCTTGAATCATAAATGCTACACCCCAAATCCCACATCTAGACCCTCAGCCCTAAAGCTCTAACCGCTAAACACCCTAAACCCTGCAGGTCCAGATCATCAGCCCTGAACGCCCATAAACAATCTGTCTTTTCAGAATTTCTTATCGGGGGTTCCTTTCCTGTCGCTTTCGCCCCACCTTTGCCGGGAAAATAGCCCAGTGGATTGCGCAATCATCAAAGCCGCAGTTAGGCTGGACCGGGATAAACTGCATATAGAACAACTCGAAGAGCGGCCTAGTTGAAGTAGATCTGAAATCCAGCAAACCCTCCCCTGACCCACACCCCAGACACCCAACGCTGAAAATCTCGGCCCTAAAACTTTCACCGGACCTGTATAACCGACTAAACACTTACAATCGCAAAGCAAAGCAACAACAATGAACGACGAGCCCAACTCGAGGCGAACTGTTGGGGGTGGCAGTGTGCACAGCCTGCCTTGGCTCCGCTTTTCTTCCCTCCTTTCTTGCCACCTGCGATGAGGAATCGTGCTCGAAGCTTAGTTGAGTCTTACAAGGGTCTTAGCAGGTTTTCTGACGAGCTTTGAAGCTTCATACAGCAGTTCTGCAACTCATTACGGGACTTTACGAGGTTGTTTGGATGACGGGATTGGGCAAGTGGCCAGAGTACCGGAAAGAAGGTCCTTCTAACTCTACTGGTAGTATTCTCACAAGGTGCCCTGATCCTCAAGTCGTGGAGTAGGGCTTATGCTTGGCAGTTTAGGGCTTAGTTCTTGGAGACTTCCTTGGTTTGGGTGCATTCCAATACGGACACTGGTAAAGAAGCACAAAACAAGAGCGTGAGACTGCGGCAAGGGAGTAGAGTATGTTTCACGGTCTAAATATGCGAAACGAATGTGAGCAATCTCTGCAAAGCTTCTAGAGCCCGATACCATTCATGGTACCCGGAGACGCCGCATATGTTAGATAACGAATTTCTACATGAATGGTCTCCAAACCCTAACGCGCTAAACTCTCAACCCCTGGACCCTAAACCATCAGGCTACTTGAATCGAAAGACCTGCATGGGAGTTCTGTAAGAGTTCTTGCCGGCGTTTAGCGGTCCGGTTCAAGGCTTAGGCCAATCTTCGTTGGTTTGGGCAGACCCAGAGAGCCCAATACCCCTTAATTAAGGAATATGCCTTAACTTATTTAGGGCTTCATATTATGGTTTAAGCTATATTCCTTATTTAAGGGGTATTGGGCTCTCTGGGGAGCGAAACCATGCTGCAGGGAAGCCGTGAACATCCCAACACAAAGGCACCCGAAGAACTACATGACAAACGACATCCGTACACCGCACCCGTGGTTCAGCGGGTTCCTAGGATACTTGAAAGGGGTGCGATGAGGATACTCAAGGGTGCTGTGCTCTGTGGATTGGGGGAAGACTCGGGGAAGACCCGGGAAGACCTTGAACCACGACTGCAAAACCTCGAGACATCTCAATAATACCGAAAACAGTCTCCGGGAGCATGCAAAGACGCCGTCGCCTTTTGGTGGTTGCTCCTTGGGAGGTCAGGTGGATGAAACCGTGGTTTGGAGCTGCGGGGGCTTAGGGGTTAAAGGTCTACACTCTACAGGTTTAGGGCGTCTCAGCCCTCACCACCTTTCAAGCAGCAGTGCGCTTCCGGCTGCAGACTTTGAGGGTGAGTAACAGGCAGCCAGTGCCTTGAGCGCGAGTGTTTGTTGAAGTAGCGTGCTATCTTGTACGACACCAAAATGGGGGTTTCCGAAAGTAGGGGACCATGATATGATACCCCAAATAGTAGGATCCTTAATATGAGGACCCCCAAATAAGGTACCCTTAATTTTCGGAAACTCCCAAATGGTGCACAAGCTAGAACAAGACGAAGTGAGCTAAATGAACCCAGGTTTTCTGCACTGCCTGCAACAGTACTCCGTGACTCCAGGTTCAGGTTTAGGGTCCACGACCGCAAAACCCTAAACCCTAAACCCTAAACCCTAAACCGTCTAAACCTGCGACCCCTAAACTTCCTAAGCCCACCATCATCGGGACTTCTTGGCGCGTATCCGGACAAGCTCATGACCCTAAGATAAGGCCTAACCTAAGGCCTAACCCAAGGCCTAAACTCCAAACACCAGAGAGGTCCCAGAACCCCGCTACAGAAGCCTGCTTTAGAGTCCTCCTATGTTTGGAACATCCTGACCCCTTTAAGCAACATACTGCACACCCTGAACACTATAACTATCCCATAACAACCGACAGCCCGAATCCTAAACCGCTGAACCCTCAACCCAGAAAGCCCAATACCCCTGAATTAAGGAATATAGCTTCAATCAGGATATGAAGCCCTATATAATTTAGGCCATATTCCTTAAATTAAGGGGTATTGGGCTCTCTGGGAAACCTAAAAGCTTCATACCGAGTGCACGGCATCTTTGGACGCGAAGCCTGGGCTGCTGCTGGAAAGGCCCAGAGACTCCAACATCCCTAATTAAGGAATATTCCTGGTGTTCCTTTAAGGGATCCTATAAGGGATCTATAGGGTTTAGGGTTTAGGGGATTCTAATATCGCTTAATTAAGGCATATTCCTTAAATCATATTAGGGATCCTACCAAAATTTATGGTATATTCCTTAAATCATATTAGGGATCCTACCATAATTTAAGGTATATTCCTTAATTAAGGGAGACGAACCGGGTTTTAGGGTTCAGAGAAAAAAGCACCGAGCACGTCAGCGTCACCCTGTGAGGGAGCAGGTTTGAAATCAACTCTTGTCGTCATCATTATCTAGGATACCCAGTAACCTAAGAATAAAAAGGCCTCTCTTTTTGGTATTGGGTAACTTTTTAAGGAACCTAGGACTACAAAAAGGGAATAAGGGTACTACTGGGCATCCTAGTTATTATCATTGTTGCTATCAGTTTCATGTTATTGCTTTATGGTCCTCAAACTGCAGCCCGGTTCGCAAACTTCCTGAGTCTGACCTTGCCTAAACGAAGAAGACTCTAAACTATCATCTGTGTAGCCGTCGTAAACCTAAACCCCAACCCTTAACTTTAAAAGCCTTACAACTCTAAAACACCAAAAGACACAACACTGGAGGAAAAAACGAAACACCAGACCCAAAAAGCTAACCATAATTTCTTCATTCCAGAATCGCAGACAGATCGTCAAGGGCTATGACTGCAGTTCATGAGACTCTCAGGGTTTAGGGCATAGGGGTTTGTTTAGGATTGCAGGGTTTAGGTTGATGTTTCAAGAGTGCTCTACGTTTCAACCGTAAACCACATGCAAAGCAAAGGTGAGGTGGAGGGCTTTGGGGTGCCAGCTTTTTGGAGGGGGGGGGGGTGAGGGTTTGGTGCTCTAGGATTTTAGATGTCGGTTTCGGGTTTTAGATTCGGGGGGTTGAGTATTTTTTAGGTTTTGGGTTCAATGAAAGCTGAAGAGAAGAAATTCGGATCGTAGTGGCCCGGTAACACAGAACCTGACGAGGCCAAGAAAAGTCCGAGAGCGTGTAACAAGCCCCAAGTTTTCAACTTTGATTCGTATAAAATCCATCGTATGAAGATGTATGAAGCCTATGGCTGGGACCCTCTTGTGACTTACGTCTTCAACCTTCAGAACCGACCCTAAACCCATCGGGATTTCCCAAACCAACTTCTTGCAGCCGCGGGACAGCCCATGACTCTACATTTACAACCCTCTACTCCTGTCCATCTGAGCCGGAAATGCACCAGCATTTTTGTGCGTCTTTCAAACCCAGGGGTTCAGAGCCTGCTGTCGAGATTTCATACTAAGCATTGTTGAGGAGATGGCCCGGACCGTACCACATTCTCAATGTAGTAATGACAGCAGCATTGCAAATCGTAACAGCAACACACTAACGAAGTCTAGTACCAGTTACAAGTTACTAGGGAGAGTAGTCGTAAGAGCAGTTGGTAACGGTGATTAGTAGCAATCGGAGGAAAATGAGATATCCAGCAACAAAAACAAAGAGTAAGCAACAGCTATTGGAAATGACAGTCAGAATCGTCATTTACAACTGAAGCAAGTAATAACGATCAAAATCAGAACAACATAACACCACAACAAGGAACACACTATATTCCCGCCCAGCAAGGAACCTCAAAGCCATCCCTGGATTCATGCAGCTCCAGCCCCACAAACTTAGACGTCGCATGTCTTAGGCTCACGAAGGTCACAAGGGTTACACAGGGATTCTTGCTTTTTGGAGTGGATAGCTTGAGGAGTTTAATGGATATGACAGGGTTTGGCCATGAACAGAGCGATATACAACCCAACACAGAAAACAACACTCTTCAAACCCGAAAGCCTGCGGACAGAAACCTTACACCAATAAATCCTAAAACCTCAACCCCTAAACTCCTAAACCTCAACCCCTAAACTCCTAAACCTCAACCCCTAAACTCCTAAACCTCAACCCCTAAACTCCTAAACCTCAACCCCTAAACTCCTAAACTGCTAACCCCTTGAACCCTAAACCAACCTTTAACATCAGCTTTCTCTCGCGAGCTCGCTGACTTTCGACTCGGGTAAAGACTGCTCCGCACTCCGCGCTTGGTGAGGGGTCCTGGCTGAGGTCGGACACTGATCTATCTGTGAGGCTACGATTTACGCGTTTAGGGCTTGGGGTTTCTGGTCTGGGTTTTCCAGCTTAGGGCTTGTCAATTGCCCTTATCGTGTTTGTCGTTTCACCTCAATTCTGAAAGAAAACGTGAAAACATTTTGTTCCTGGGGATTTGTGCAGGATGCTGCAGCTTGCTAGAGACTCTTCAAGACTCTTCAAGAATCATAGTTAGGGCTTCAGAAGGGTCGAGCCTTCTACTAAAAAACAGGCCTTCGTAGTCAGAAGCCGGTAAATACATAGTCGTACAATGTAGAACAACCCAAATCTTCCGAATCCCTACTGCGAGGCGCAGAAGATTCCGAGATCCGGACCTCTCGAAGCCGGGCCTACCCCAAAAGGTCCTAACCCAGACCTTCCCAAATCCCTTAATTAAGGAATATGCCGTAAATTATAGTAGGGTCCCTAATATGATTTAAGGCATATTCCTTAATTAAGGGATTTTGGAAGGTCTGGGTACCGGTTTATACCTGCGCAGACTTGATTCGTATGGGAGTCATGCTAGAAGCGCTTACAACGTAAGTACATACGATCCTTGTCTTACGAGAAAGAGCAATACTATACGGCATTACACCACACCCTGTTATGCTGGAAAGGCCTGCCTCTTCCATGCGCATCACCGGCGGAGCAGCCTTTCTTCACCAATTTTCAGGGACTTCGCTCCAGCCGACATACTACTTGGGATTAGGATTCTGACTTTACGGTTTAAGGTCTAGCTAGGGTTACCCTAAACTTCTATACATTACTTCCCAGTCTCCCATAATTAAGCCTTAACCCTAAACTCCTAAATGCCGACCTCCCAGAAACTCTGAAGCCCAAACGCTTAACATGGAGTACCAAGCCAGGCATCGATATTCCCGAAACCCTCATAGTAGACCTAGCAATTTCCAAATGGAGCAGAGGGGGAAAGCCGGAAAGGCAAGATGCAGGCTAGACGTCGTAGCTTCGGATTGGGGTTCTGGGGCTTTGAGGCTTTGGGTTTTAGGGATTCAGTGGTGTGAGGCTGTAGGGTCTACGGCTAAAGTAGTTTATGACATTATGGCTCAAGGCTTCGGGCTTCACGCTTCAGGCTTCATGAGAGAAATCACAACCCGAGGTTTTGCCTGCGAGACGCTTACGGCTGAGGGCTTAGGGTTTCGGGTTTAAGAATCCAAACCTTCGAGGTCCATGCACAAGATCCACAACCCCACCAGGCGCAACACGAGATAACACCTCGAACACACCTCCCCCCAAACAATAACAACAGCTCCCCTGATACTAAACTGGGGCGTATGGTTAGAACGAGGTTTTGGGGCACCTAAGCATTTTTAGAGATATTGTTACTAGAGTCCGAACCCGCACACGATCAAACTAAAGGTATGCAAGCAACAGTCTCGTAGTTCCTATAAGCCTGCAAAAAATCACCGACATCCCCGACATCCAACTCTGACTGATTTATGCCAAAAAGCCGTATCGTACCGAATCCAACAACAAGGCCAAAACTCCAAAACTTCAAAGCTAGAAATCCTTTTGACCCAGAAGAGAAACAACAGTTTTCATGATGCTTTCTGTTCAAAGTGAACAACTGATGGGAGGCCGAAAGGGGGGATTCCTGAATATGTAATATGGGAAACCTAATCCCTACTAAACCCCCCTAGGCTAAAACCCCTTTTGGCCTCCTATGACAAACCCTCAACCCTAAAGCTGCAGGTCTAAGCATACCCTAAACCCTAAACCCGTATAGTACCCCTATAGATCCCTTAGAGGGGAACTATAAAAGGGACTCACAGATCCCGACCCTCTAAAACCCCTTATAGTACCCTCATAGTAATCCTCATAGGAACCCTTTCCTTTTTGGCCTCCTATGAGCAATGACCCTCGAGGAACACGGACCCTTAGTAAGGACCCCTAGGTACATACCCTTAATATAGCTATTTTATACCCATTATATAGCCCCATTATGGGATAGGGGTCCCCATTAAGGGCCCCTCCTTTTCCCCTTTGACTCAAGGAACACCCGAAAAGTCCCGGCCTCCGGAACGTCGGAGAAGTCTGCTGAGCGGGTGCCCGGACGGCACGCAGAATCCGAATCCCAAAGAGCAACCAAAACGAATGTTTGGGATTTGTTTAAGGTGCAAAGGGAGCAACAAAAGCGACTGTTTAGGATTTCGCGTTGAAGGTGTAAGTTTGAGCGGCTCTGCAAAAGAAGGGGTCTATGCTGGGTCTGTACATAAGGGATCTATCAGGGCTTAGGGTTTGTCAAGGTGTGCGATTCAAACTTTAGGACCCATGATACTAACACTAAACCTTGTGAAGTATGAAACCTGGAACCTTAAAGCCACAAGGTCTCATTTCGGGGTTTCACGGGTCTAGGTTAAAGTTTTGGGGTTTGCAGTGTTGACAGTTAGGGTCTAGGGGTTAGTAAAGTCACTACACCACCTTTGCTTTACCGTTATAGGGTTTACGGTTCAGTAAAGTCACTACACCACCTTTGCTTTACCGACTAGCAAGCCCCCTCGGACTCTACGCACACAGCACAGCGAGAGCTGCTGCGCGGCCTAGGACTCTAGGCCTTGTCACCGGCCCAAGTGGCCGGGGAAGGCTGCAAATTTAGGGCGTTCGCAGCAACAGTGCCGCTCCGAGCATCTCTGGGCGTCGGTTTAGGGTTTAGGGTGTGGGGTTTAGGGTTTAGGGCATAGGTAGGGCTGTAGAGTAGTTCAGTCAGGGTTTGTCTTGAACTGGTTTTCGCGTTGCTAGGCCCTGTGTGGCTTCCAGCTCAAGACCCCGGGGCGGTTTCGTGTGTTGTCGTCTCGGCTGCAGGATCTGGAGTTTAGCATATAAGCGGAAAATTGACCTTTCTTGCACACTACAAGGGCCACGGCCGGCCAAAACCCAACCGCGTACTGTGGGGACCTTAGGGGGTTTGTAGCTACGTCTGGTGACCTCAGGAATGCTATTTCTAGTTGTTCATAGTTCAAGTCCAGGTCTGTCTGTCTGTCTGTCTGTCTGTCTGTCTGTTTATCTGTGTGCCTGTCTATGTATCTGTCTATCTATCATCTTTCTATTTGCTTGACTATTCTTTTCTCAACCTATTGGGCATCTTGGTATGAGTCGGAAGCATGACTAACAGCATCCCGTGATGGTCCGTATGCCATCCTACACAATGTATCCCAAAGCCCTCTTGTTCTCATCCGTTCCGACATTAAGCCCGGCAACTTCACTGCTGCGGTTGCAGAAGCTGCGTAGTAGGAGGCCGCAATCGGCCCAGCCACTTTTCGGAACGGGAACGCTGAGACCCCAAATGGGCCCGCTTCGAGGAAAATGCCTTTATGGAGCTAAGGGTGTGAGGGCTTGAGCCCGAGGACTTGGTAATAACCATACGGGGCCTTATGATGATTAAAACTGGGTCTGGGAAATATTAACCATAGTGAAGAGCCTCGATTTGTCAGGCTTTTTCAGCATCAGAACTTCAATATGACTTATTGGAGCATATCAAATTCACGGGTCTGGGCTAGTCTCGGGATGTGGCTTGTGTCCTTGGGCTAGACATGCAAAGCTTATGTGCATACGGCGTCGGGCGTTGAGTCATAGGCCTTTGGCAATTCTTTAGTAAGGGCCCTGTCATTCTAAAGGCACATCCCCTCGTTGGCTGATCACCTCACCAGACCGCCGCCACAACATGCCACGGGCGCATAGACCGAAACCGATTCTGGGTTCTTATTATTCGGGGCAGTATACTAATCCGCTATTCAACTTTACATGCCTATTGTGGTGGCAACTCAGTAAAGCCTGAATAATTCATACACTATTCCTTAAGGTCCCTGTTAACATTATGGAAGAAGGATAGCTCGAAAGCCTATTTTAGTTACTAGTTATTGGAGCCCCTATATGTTAGCATCCCTAATACAAGGCACCCCCCCGCTGACAACATAGTCTTCAAACCCCATCATTGAGGCTTAAATGATCATCCAACTTTAGCCTACGGAGTTGCCTATTGATCTTTTTTAATTGCAGGATCAAGCGCCTTTGCATAGTAGGTGATCCACAGAACAGGGTTTAGGGATTAGGGTTTGGGGTTCAGGATTTGGGGTTGACGGAAATGCTCGTAGGGCTAGGGTGTAGGGCGCTCTTATTCAAAGAGACGGTGCTAGCAAACAGTGAGTCAACGGCAACTTCGGAAGCATCGTGGGCTCAAAAGTCCAAGTCCGCAAAGCCTTAACCCCCGCCCCTTGAAGCCTAATTACAGCTAACAGGTGAGAGCCGTCGCACTCATTTTCATTCTACTTGTTGGGTTCTTCAAGTCTAGCTTCCACCTGCCAAAGCCAAGCGAGAACGCCTGGGGCTCTTTGGGATTTCAAGAATGCTTGTTTACAGGGTCCCAAGGCATTGGGACCCTTCAGCTGCACACGAAAGCCCTAAACTTTCTACCCCCGAAGCCCTCCCGAAAGCTAAGATCGCCAAGCCCTACACACCACTAGGATACCCAGTAACCTAAGAATAAAAAGGCCTCTCTTTTTGGTATTGGGTAACTTTATAAGGAACCTAGGACTACAAAAAGGGAATAAGGGTACTATTGGGCATCCTAGACCATGCAAAAATGGGGCCCAAAACGCTGGATGCGAAAATCTGCAACCCTACACCGACCGAAAGCTTATAACAGCTTACACGCCCGTGGCAAGGAGAGGACTCTGTCGCGAAGCCCGTCGCGCACGAATAGTCCTCCACTGCGTGGCCACCTGACGGCTTTGGCGTTGAGCGTTTGGGGATTTACCCTAAGGCCCTACAGTAGTTCCTTTTTGGGGTTCATATTTAGAATCCTATTAGGTAATCCCCAAAAAGGAACTACTTTGGGGCCTCTGGGTAGGACCTATAGGGGCTTAAGGGATTAAATTTTCGGGCTTGGGCTCGCATCAACCCCAATTTCCACACCGCCCCAGGGTTTAGGGTTTAGGGGTTTAGGGTTTAGGGGTTTAGGGTTTAGGGGTTTAGGGTTTAGGGGTTTAGGGTTTAGGGGTTTAGGGTTTAGGGTTTAGAGTCGAGAATTCCAAACGTGCTATTGCAGGACCTAGAAGTCCAACGCCCAACAACCCAAACCCGGAAGACCTACCTTGGGTTAGTAGGGAATGGAGGAATGGGGTAGAATTATAACTACTAGTACTACCATTCTTCCATTCCCTACTAAAGGGAACTCCAGAAAGTTGGAATATGGTTTCATGGTAGGATACCCTATAATTTACCATAAAGGGCTTAAGATAATAATTTTCCAACTTTCTGGCTTTTACCTTAACCAAAGCCAAGAAGAGGACAGGCCGCAGCCTGGCGGATTCGAAGTTCGTGAGCCCCACAAGTCTGCAGCACGCGCAGGTGTCAGGTGCAAACAGCCCGGCATCGTCCCCCCCCAAACCCCAAACTCGAAACCCTAAACCCCAAACCCTAAACCCCAAACCCTAAACCCCAAACTCTAAACCCCACGCTCTAAACTCGACACCCTAACCTCGAAATCCTTAACCCCAAACCCTAAACCCCAAACTCTACCCCCTAAACTCTAAACTCGAAACCCTGAGATCCCACAGATCAGGACTTCAGCTGTTTCTTAGGGATTATAATAACCAAAAATGAAATATTTATTTTTAAGTACCCCTAAGAGATCCCACAGCTTAGGACAGCGAGCCGGGCCCGTGGCCTTGCGGGGAAGGCTGATCGCCTCCGGGCCATGGACCGGGCGTGGGATGCAGGGCTTTTTTACGGGGGTTAGGGTTAAGGCTTTACGGGGTTTACAGGGTTTAGGGTTTGGGGATTTAAGGGTTTTAAAAGGTTTAAGGTTTTAGGATTTAAGGGGTTTTAAGGGGTGTAAAAACCTGGGGTTTAGGGCTTTGGGATTGAGGCTTTGGGGTTTAGGGTTTTTAGGGTTAAGGGGTTCGAGGGTTTAGGGTTGAGGACGGGTTTAGGGGTTTTAGAACTTTGGGTTTTAAAAGGGTTAATACAGGACAGGCCCCTTTACAGAATTTCAATAAGCATTCTGACAATTGTGCTTCAGGATTTCGGGGTCCAGCGGTTGTGAAGAGTGACAACAAATGTTCCTTAAAAGGAATACGATTAGGATTCCGAAATAAGGGTCATTATTTTGGTTTAGGATCTATATAGGGTTTTGGGCGTGGTTTTTTTGGGGTTGGAGGTTTCTATTGGGGTTCAGATTTTAAGGTTGGCCGTTAAGGATTCGAGTTCCAGTGCTTCTTCACATAGGGCCCCCAAAAAGCACATACGCAAAAATTAGGATAGGGATATCCCATATAAACCCCCTTAAAAGGAAGCCCAATAAGGTAGGGATATCCCTGTAAAATGCTTATGCTTATGTGCGTTTGGGTCCCTAATCACAAGCTGACGATTCAAGGTGTGTGCGGCTTCGGGCTTTGAGGCTTTAGGGTTGAGGGTTTAGGGTTTAGGGGTTTAGGGCGTTTTACCGAGATGGCTTGCTGAAAGCTCGAAAGACTCATCCTTAGATTTCCCTTGAACATAGCCCTAGCTGCTTCCTTCGAAAGAATCCGAATTCATAGCCCTTATGGGTCACATAATCAAAAAACTTTTCGACAATTGATAGCCCTCCTTGATCCGTTAGAAAAGAACCTAATTTTCAATCCCTGCCCCCCTGCCCAAAGCCGCACCCAGCAGATGCCGACGATGAGGAAGGCAAAGCCCGACCAAGTGAAGAAAATAGTGAACAGCCATCCCCAAACCTCGGGCGGTAGGGCTGAGAGGGCTTTTAGGGTTTACCCATAGGCCCCGAAGTAGTTCCTTTTTGGGATTACCTTATAGGATTCTAAATATTGAACTACTATGGGGCCTTAGAGTAGGGCTCCTTTAAGAGAACTTGAAAATGTGAGGGATCTAAGAGGGGTTAAGGGGTCTGTTACCATGGTCAGTAGCCATCTCCAGGCCTAGCTTTTACTAAAACAAGAGTGCTGTTTAGGGTTTAGGGTTTACGGTTTGGGCAGGGCAGCGCACAGTAGTTTAGTGTTTTTTTCGGGCTTAGCGTTCCGTTACGAACTGATTTTGGGGGCTTTAAAGGCCATCGTAAACAGCCATTTCCAAACCTCGGTGACTCTTCGTGCTTGGTGGGGAAGCCTATCTTCAAGGGTTTCGGGGTTCTTATCGTTTAGCCATCTCCAAACCCCGGGTCTTAGGCCTTCAGAGGTTAAGGTGCAGATCTGGGGTTGACAAGATTTGCAGTAAATCACTGGGCTTTTAAGTAACCAGGGAGAAAAAAGTATAAACTTTTATTTCATAATGGTTTCATTCAGAAAAAAGGATTAAAGTACGGTACTCCAAAGCCCAGATCAGCTATGAGAAGAGTCACGCAGGTAAGGTGAGCCCAAATCCATGTATAATTGCCTACCTAGACCTTGAATTGCAAAACCTGGAGGCCAATAAGAACATTAGAAAACCAGAAAAAACTGCAGCACAACAGCTCCCCCCAACTCCAGGTGCTTGGAGTTTTAAGGTTTAGGGCCAGTTTCGGGTTGATAGAGCCAGGCGAGTTAGTAAGTAGGGCTGTGCTTAAGGTAACTAGACCTAAGAGTAACCTAGGAATAAAAAGGGTGCCCTTTTTGGTTTAAAGGGTGTTATAAGGGAACCTAAACCCTAAAAAAGGGAATAAGGGCCTACTCTGGGTCCTAGGTAACAATAGTAAATATCTACTTAGACCCTCATTCGAGTACTTATACCCCTACTTACTGAGTCCCCCCGCCCTCCAAGTAGGGTCAGGGTTTACGGGTTAAGGGTTAAGGGTTTAGGGTTTAGGGTCAAGGGTTTAGGGTTAGGGTTTAAGGTGTTGAGCTTTAGGCCCAGGGTTCCTGGGGTTGGATTTGTTGTCCTGTTGTGTGAACTTGTAGCATGAAGGAATCTACAACTATTCAAACCTCCAGGTGCTTGAGCGCGTGTGTGTGTATATATATATGTAGATATAATAATACATACATAAGTGGTCACCCCAAACCCTACACCTATCGGACACACCTTGATAATTGGAAAGGGGGGGGGGGTTGGGATATATTATATATACTGTACTTATATAACAAGGACCCCCCTCCAAAAGCTGTGCCAGGGTTCAAGGGTTAGGGCCTACTATTTTGCGTTTAGGGTATAAGAGCTTAGGGCTTCAAGGGTTCGTGCGGGGTTTGGGGATTTGGGCTTTGAGTGTAGTTTTGGAGGGCTTGGAGTTTCGGGTTTAGGGGTAATGCCCCCTGATAATCCCCATACGTGCCTAAAAGACAATACTGGAGCATGCCCCCCGTGATAGCCAATCGCACCCCCTGTAATCCCCGGTTTAGTATGCTAGAATACTGGGCTTTTTAAGTAACCAGGGAGAAACAAGTGTAAACTTTTATGTCATAAGGGTTCCTTTAAGCAAAAAGGTATTAAAGTATGGTACTTCAAAGCCCAGAATATCCCCCCAAACCCTTTAGGCTGATTCTTGAGACGATTAAACCCTCAACACCAGCAGCCCGGCAGAAACCTCTAATCCCCAAAAATTTACGAGTACGCTGCCCGGTAACCTGGGCATAAAAAAGGCTCCGTTTTTGGTGTTGGGTCAACCTAGGGCTACAAAAGGGAATAAGGGTAGTACTGGGCATCCTAAAGCCCTAAAACCCTAAACCCTAAACCCTAAAACCCTAAAGCCCCTAAAACCTCTAAAGCCCCTAAAGCCCTAAACCCTAAGGAGGTTACTGGGTTACTGTAAGGGCTACTATAAAGGATACAGGCATCTCAGCTCCGAGCCGATAAGGCGCCAGTACTGGTGTACTCGTTGGCGACCTTAGGTACGGCCCCCATACAGTAAGAGGCCTAATAGGGCTACTATTAAGGTCCTAATATATCTATATTATGAATATTATTCAACTATTACTGAGTGGGGGCCGTACGCAATGGCGACCTGATAAGAGGGACCGTGGTTCAGAATTCAGAGCCTTGGCTCAACAACATTTGGAGTTTGCGGTTCGAGGTTTGTTCTGGTTAGTGGTTTGGAGGCTTAGGATTAAGAGAATTAACACGTAGTGTTTCAGTTTATAGGGCTTAGGTTTCTGTTAAATTGGTTTATGTTTTCACTTTTGCTTTCGCTAAAGTTAGGGGTTCAGGATCTCCCAACGGAAGCAGACTCCACTGCACCATGCAGAAGAAGACGACTCCGGACACCATTGAAGGTTAGAAAAAAATGGCACGGCATGCTAGGTCGGACCCCCGAGCCTGTTGTCAAAAGTATCGTCCCCTTTTGGGTACCCTAAATATCAGGTGCCGTTTTAATAAGGACCCAAAAAGGGACCTTAATATTGACAACCACCCTTATGCTAATCGAAGTCAAGACCCAGCCGAGCTGTGCAGGCCGAGGTCAGCACGTTCACCGGTTGGCAGTACCTCCAGGCACCGCCGCCCAATTCAGGTCTGCATGCTTTTGGGATTGAAAGTTCGAGCTGGGGCTTAAGCCAGTTCCACCTTTGCTAAGATACCCAGTAACCTTAGAATAAAAAGGCCTCTCTTTTTGGTATTGGGTAACTTTATAAGGAGCCTAGGACTACCAAAAGGGAATAAGGGTACTACTGGGCATCCTAGGAATTGGGAGCACCTGAAACAGGGTTCTGGCAGCTTCAGACCGGATCTCAGGCTGGCAGAGAGTTGCCTTGGAACTGGAAAAGGTTGCCACGGCGTGGTCGTGCAGCTTCTAAGTTTTCCTTACGGCGCAACAGGGAAATACAGATAGAGAGAGAATGAGAGATAAAGGCGAGAGAGAGAGAGAGAGAGAGAGATCTGAGATCTGAGATCGCAGCGCATGTACATCCATCTCAGGTGTCCACCCCAAAGCAAAGGATATGCAGGTGAACTGGGTCGTTCGGTCGTACTTCTGCATAAGACGTTTGCCTAGGTTCACTGGGTTCGTGTGACTAGGATGTCATCGAACCAATTGTCCTGACCCGTCGGCATTCTTGCTGCAGTGATGAGAGGAATCGTATGTGAGCAGTTTGCAGCTAACACGGCTTCATCAAGTCTTGGCATCGTCGTAGATTGCGAGAGGAATCTTCTGAACAGATTGTCGTACACGGGCCCCGCTGGAGGATTGCCGGCTGCCCTGACCTTTGTTTTTTCCTTTGGGGTTCGCCGTCTCTGGCCTCCTGGTCTGGATATGGTTAAGGGGTTTAGGAGCGAGGGTTCAGAGGCTCGGAGCATTCGGGCTTTGGGGCCCTTAAAGGATCCCTTAAAGGAACCCTTAAAGGAACCCTTAATGGCAAGGGGTATGTAGGGTTTGCTTCCCAGCCAGGGCCCGGCTATACATGACTGTACATAGCTAGGGCTGTTATGGACTGTTCGGGGTTCAGGGCTTTAGGGGTTCAGGGTTTAGGGCTTCAGGGTTTAGGGTTAGAGTTTAGGGTTTTAGGGGTTCTGGGGTTCAGGGTTCGAGTTTGGGGCTTGATAAGGTCCAACCAAGAATCTTAAACCTTGATGAAATTTCTATCCCTTTTAGAAACCGGTCAAACCCTGAACCCCTAAACGCTACAGCCCAAATCCCTCAAGCCCGAAACCCCAAATCTCAACCCAGGGGGCACTTGTTGAAGTTGGAACCCAGAATCTGCGGGGCTCCCCCGCCGCTGCCGAAGATTCCTGAAGCGGTTTAGGGTTTAGGGTTTAGGGTTTAGGGGGGTTGAGGTTTCGATCGGGTTTCGGGTTTAGGTCTTGATCGGGCTTAGGGTTCAGGTTTTGGTCGGGCTTGGGGTTCCTACAGGGTTGAGGTTTTGGTCGGATCTTGACGGAGTTCAGCATTATGAGTATTCGTTCTATGACTGCGAAGACTTTTTCTTGAGGTGCGGATATACTTGGAGGATCAGGGGACTTAGTAAGTAGGGTTATGAGTAAGGTAGCTATACTTATATATACTTATAACCCTAGTTAGGGTACTTATAACCCTACTTACTAAGTCCCATGATCCCCCAAGTAAGATAGCTGCGCTCGATCTTGTAAGGGACCTGCAGGGCTTTACAACGGTTCGGTCTGCGTAAAGCTTTACGGAGCTTGGCGTTCTGAGAATCAGGGTTTCAGGTTTACATTTGCACAGGATTAGTACCGTCATGCCACGAAGTGAAGTGCAGTTCAAGGTTTCAGGGTTTGAGAGCTTCGGGTTTGAAGGTTTCGGTGATGCCACTCTCTCGCGATGTGCTCGCCAAACAGGAGTGCTGCCAGTCCGCAGGCACAAGCGTGTGCGACAATGGTTGCCAAGCAGATGAAACTTGTGCTAAATTTTCGGATGTTCAAAATTCATGCAAGGTCAGAGAGTCGCGGACTTCTTGCCCCGGCGGAAGCACATAAAACCTCAGAAGAAAGCTTTTTACCAACACGTAGCACCTCCCTGATATTGAACTTTTCAGAAGGATCTTTATAGTGAGGATTATCAAGGAGAAGCTTCTTAAGCCAAAGGCTGGCCTAGCGTGTCGCCGTCGGGAAGCTCTGTGCAAGACGTCCCCCAGGCATCATTGACCTCTTCGGTAATTTGGGAGTCTCATGGGATTTTCAGAGAGATTTGAGCTCCTGAGTCGCTTTTGCGAGAAAATGCGACTATGGTTTGTAGCTTTCTTCCTGTTGGGGTGTGTGCTTTGCAGGCCTTCGTGCTACAAGGTTTCCGGGGATCCCGGTTAATTTCTTCCTCGCGTCCTTGTCAGAGGTCCCTGCTGCTGTACTCTCCTTTTAAACTAAGCACCCCGAACCCTCAAATTCAAACGCTAAACTCCAAACCCCAAACCCTTTCTTTGGAGCGGGGCTGCGAAAACCCTAAACCCTAAACGTGGGGAGAGACCCACAGGCATCCCCACTGCTCCCGGTGAGTTCCGTCACCATTCGCCCTATACCATCGAGGGTTTGGGGGTACTGCAGGGTCTTAGGTTTTACAGCTTAGGGCTGAAATGCCGTTTGAGGCTCGACCGGGCCTTTTCAATAACCCCCAGTGGTACACTCGTTGCATTGCATGTTCACATCTTCAATGCGCGCTCAAGCACTTTGCATTTAAGAGTTCACAGTTTAGGCGGGCTTGCGACAGGATTCAGCCGCATCCCGGTTGTGATCCTGATCCCTAAGCCTTGCAACCCCGAAGCCATAACCGGGAATTCTGAACACTGGCCCCCATTTAGGGTGCAGCCTCCAACTTACACTGCAGCCCAACACCCAACATTACTCAAACTGCTACGTATGTTAGTCCGTCAATTCTGTACCGGCTGTTACATTGTTGGCCTCTCCCGGTGAACCGTGAACCCGAGACCCCAAACCCTAAACTCCGACTCCCCTATAAGCCTCCAATCTTTATACCCTAAACCCAGAAACCCCTAAACCCAAAATCCCAACCGAGCCCCTAAACCCCAATCCCATCTAATCCCGAAACCCCAAATCCCTAAACCCGAAACTAAACCCCTAAAGCCCATAACCTTAAACGCCTCAATAAACCCATCTAATTCCTAACACCTTAACTCACTGGCCCAAAACCCAAGGAAATAAAAGTTGAAACTTTCAGAACCGACTACCTTATAAAAGCCCCAAAAGTTGAACAGCTGAGTTTACAGCCAATCAGTCCCTAACACCTTAACAACCCTGAGGAGCCAATCCAGGGCTCCCGGACAAGATGCCGTGTCAGGTCCGCCATGCACAGGAACAGCGAGGCGAGGATGCAGAAGAAAGGGCCTCACTAGGGGACTTCATGAGTAGAATAGAGTTTCTGTAAAGATGAATATGAAGGTTCGATAGTATAGGGGTATTATAGGCAGAATAAGATGTTGTGGTATGTTATCTTGGAGTTATAAGTATAGGAACCCCCAAATCGAGGTTGGTAATTACCTAGGCCTAGCCGGGCTGGGAAAGCTTACAATTCTAGCGAAGGCCTGCGTGGAGAATAATTACAAATACTATAACTATTCCAGAATATGCCTTTTTGAGAAAATATTCATCTACCTACACCTAAACTCGATTCCTATACCTCCTTCCCTATTCGTCTCAGCCGTCTGCACCCAAAACTCTGTGTTATTGCAACAACGGTGGGTTCAGTCCTCCGGCGGAGTTTGCTTCGCCTTTAACCGGCGCGTGGCTAGACCCAACACCCTAAAGGACTTAGCAAGTAGTGCTCCTTAAAGGGCTCCTCAAAGGGATCTAAAGAGTTCCTTAACGGGATCTATAGGGTTCGGGGCTTAGGGTCTACTTAGAGGGTCAGGGGACATTGATACGTAGCGTTACTAGTACCTTAACTAGGCTTACAAGTAGATATACCCTGTAGTTGCGTTATTGAAAAACCCTATTCACCAAGTCCCGTGATTCTCCAAGCACTCCCTGCACCCCACACCCGAAGTCTGAACTTGACACCCAAAGCCTCCAAACCCCAGGCCCTGAATCCTTCACCCTACATGCACGAAACCTTTAAACCCTGCGAGGTAACCTGGAAACTCTTGCGACGTCTTAAAAGTGTAAACCCTTACCAATTGAAAAAGGAAGCCCTAGACAGGCAAATTGAAAATGCAACTTAAGTGACGCCATAAAGCCACTAAGACAGAAATTTCCAAAATCCTACTCTTGCCACCACAACACATTGCAAAAACGCCATACCCTCGGAGGGTATAAACCCTAAAGCCTAAACCCTAAACCCAAAAGCTAGAAGGCTCCTAACTTCCATGGATCCTGAGGCGCTGGCCCCACTTGCGCCCGAACCTCGGTGGAGCGCCGTTCTTTGTCGATGCTCTACACTTTTTTGGGTTTTGTGTGCCGGCATAGTGGGGCTGAGGGCTCTTTGTAGGGTGGTTTGCTTTCGTATACTTCACTAAATTTGCATAGTGGCGTATGCTGTTTATGGTGGGGCTTAGGGGTCTCTGTGGCGTAGAACCTTTCGGGTTTCATGGGACCTGGGTTCAGGGCTCACGGCATTGCGATTGGAATTTCAGGCCTGAGGGGTTTAAGTTTATGGTAAACCCCAAAAAGTTGGAAACCGGATTAAGGACAATTAGTGGCGGGATTCCTTATACATTCCTCTTAAGGATTGAGGCTATTGGGTTTCCAACTTTTGGGCTTCGACTGTAAGCCAATTTTAAGAGCTTCAGGGCTTCAGGGCTTCGAGCTCAGGGTCCTGCGTTCGGCGTGTTGGGGCGGGGTGGAGGGGGTTTCAAAGTCTTGTGGCTGAAAGGGGTGTAGAGGCAAGGGAAGGGTTTGTTATGACAGGCAGGGTCTTACTGTCATCCAAGGTCTCGTAAAGCTTTGGGCTTTTAGATCGGTTTGAAACCAAAGAAAGTTAGAGCAGTCAGCAAGTGGGGCCAGAGCCTGAAAAGAACCCAACAAAAGACCAGTAGGGTAGTATAGTTTCTTTCAGGAGCCCCTTATGATCCCTTTAGGGAACCCTTTTTCTAAGTATGTAGGTCGATATCTCGTTGTCATCTGGTATGACTCTTGAAAGCGTAGGTTCTGGGATCGCCACATCAAGCCTTAACCTAAACCCCCATCAGGTTTCGGTACGATGACAACCCTATCAACCCCAAACTCCGATGTCATGGCCCCTAAACCTTATTTGCTCCACATCTAAACCCCTTAAACTCTACACCCTAACACCGACAGTAATATCGAACTCTAAACCCCGAAACCTCTAAATCCTTCATCCTATGCTCCTAACTCCTAAATTAAAATTAAACTGTAGATGCCCCTACGTTGGTCAGGGCCCCGGCGTGAAGTCTTTGCGAGATGCCTTCGTCTTGTTGTAGACGAACTGCAAAATCTGGCAGCGACTTCGCAAGGGGCTTAGAGCTTGGAGGGTTTAGGGTGTAGCGTTCAATGATTCCGGTTCAGGGTGTACTGAATCTGAGATCGATTTTTGTGGTACTTGCCAGTTTCACACTTCGGATGTTGAAAATCCTCATCTTGGGAATGTCGATCATCTTACTGTACAGTCTACTGGAAGTCATCGAGCCAACCCTGTGGATGTATGTATAAGATACAACGGCAGAAAGCTCCAAGGCTACCTGCTTAAGGACTGAGCCATCATTATCACAATGATGCGCGGGTCATTGCCATTACGACTCAACTATCAGGGTGAGCCGGGCAAGCCGAAACCAAAGGAATTTAAGCGGAACCTCGAGGCCATCTATACAAGCCCTGAGCCAGAAAGCCACAGCTTCCCGTCAGCAAGGAGCCTGCTGTACAGGGAAGTTTTGTAGTTTAGGGTCTAGGGTTTAGGGAAGTAAACAACGCTCGTGATGTCCGAATGATTTCAAGAGGAGCATTTGTAGTTTCCAAGGCTTCTTCGATACGGTAAACCCCATAAAGTTGGAAACCGGATTAAGGCCAAATAGTCCTGGGATTCCTTATACATTACTCTTAAGGTTTGAGGCCATTGGGTTTCCAACTCTTGGGCTTATACTGTAAGCAACTCATCTGTAAGATTCCAGAGGGATCCTGACGATCACTGTGATGGCTGCTGAACTAACAGGTGTGAACCAAGCTCTCCAGGCATGAACCATATATGCAATATATGCCATAAGCCGCCATAAGCCCTAAACACTAGTTGCGAGACCTTCACCGCCGACTCCGACGCACTAAAGTCGCTCGCAGGCTTCTTAGCCCGGAAGCCCTCAATTTAGGCCGTGCAGCCCTGTCTCAACCTCAGCCTGCAGACTCAGCAGGCACAGTAATGTTCATCATCGAGACCATGGTAGGCATAGCAATGCTCAAACAAATCTCAGCAGCCAGCAAGAGAAGCAAACAACAACAAAACGAGCAAAATCGGGGATGATCATGTTGACAATGATGTGGGTGATGATGCCATTGGTCATGACAGGTCTTCAAACGTGATTGCCTTTTTGCTGAAAGGTGGGGTTCGCCGGGGTTCCTCTGATTGGGGGTTTTTGGCCTTTTAGGTTTCCGGTTTGGGTGTTGCCTAATTTTCACATAGTTTTTGGTAAGCACCGCAAGCTCTCTCGTTTTTGACAAAGTCATTGGCGCCAGTCTCAGCGATCGGAGCCCAGTACCAACCCCGCTTTAGAACCTGTGAAATCCCCTGCCATAAAACATTCTAAACAACGTAAAAGCAAACCTGTAGAGCCCTTTTCACAATCCTCTTAAAGAGCCGTATGGAGCCGGCCACAAACCTCCATTATCATAAAGCCGGCTAGACTGCATGCAAACCCTCTGGAACCCTGGCCCAGACCCTTATGGAAACGTGCGCCGGCAGCACGTTGGTCAGCACAGCCAAATTGATGCCCCAGGTCAGCGCGTGCACGAAGGACCGCGAGGAAGAACTCGGGTGAGCAACGACAAGGGTGGATTTGTTTTGAAATTCGGGGTTTAGGGTGTTTGTGCAGGGTTTAGGGCTTGCAGGACTTGAGGTTGGAGAGGTGCAGCAGCATCCAGTTTGGCAAGCGTTTCGGGTCATTTAGCGCGCACGGCTGACTTGAGAGGAGAGGCCTGCCTTCGCAAAGGCTGCAATGCGCTTGGAGTCCAATTTAGCAGCAGCATGTTGTAAACATATTTGGGATGGTATACTGCTAATATAGGGGCCTAAATAATTAGAATAGGGTTTTGGGGCCCGTTAGACTATAAAAATACTGGTAATTATTTAGGCCCCTGTAATGAACCCCGTAATACCCCTCATAGTAGCCCTAATAGGACCTTTGTAAGGAACCCTAAAGTGCCTAGTAAATATATGCCACACCCACGCGGCAGACTTGAAGAGTTCTGTGTTTCGGGATGCCAGGTAGATTGGGTTTGGCTGTCGTCTCTTAGGAACCGCTCCATTTAGGGTTTAGGGTTTAGGGGTTTCCGGATTTAGGGTTTAGGGTCCAATCTGAAAAACGCAGGATCCCGAAACGCTGAGACAATAATACCACGAACACGTGGATTTGAACCTCCAGCCTAGAACGTAATACCACTTCTCTACGAGAATGGTTCATAGGACTCTTGCGCATCCCTCTACATGGTATGGCTAGGGTTTAGTACTTCATTGTGGAATGTCCCTGAAAGTGTAGAGGGAAACTTCTTGTGGTGTTTGGTGTGGTGCGTGGCTATCAACAAACTGGCATTGCTCCCTTTCTACCCGAAGATCAAAACCCTCAACCCTAAAGCCTAAACCCAAAATTCAATACCTTCAACCCCAAACCATTTACCCAATCTCAAACCCCTCAAGCCTGAAACCAAACTCAAAACTCCCAACTCAAACCCTAAACTCAAAATTACAGACTGACCGACTCCCTCCTGGCTGGCGCCGAAAATCCACAAACTCGCCGCAGCCATTCCGCAGGTGCCGACTGAAAGCGACAGGAGCCACAGCCCTAAACCCTGACACCTCCAGGCTTCGAGCAATTGACCCCGAGTCACGATCCCTGCAATATAGGGGCCTACTTAGAATCAGAATAGGGATTGGAGGCTATACTATGCAATACTATTGGTAGTTATTCCGACCCCCCTGTTAACCCGAATTACTTCGAATTCTCGAATTCTGAACCCTAAACCCCAAAACAGGTTCGCTGGCGTTTGTTCCCCCTCCCCTCCCGCCCCCGCACTCCCTTATCCTCCTGCACATGTCGGAATCTAATGCTTAGGGGCTGCACATTCGCAAGATTTTACTCACAAGAAGGCTCTGGGATGTCGCATCTTTTTGGAGCTTAGGGCTGATGGCTT